TTTACCTGTATATAAAATCAGCCCCCAGTTTCTGCAAACTAGGCTTAAACACAAGATGATTATCTTCAATTAGTTCTACATGAAGTTTCACCTAGACAACAGATTATTCAATCACTCCTGAATCAATATTCTCTCTCTCTCTTTTTTTAAGAGACAGGGTCTTGCTATATTGCCCCAGCTGGAGTACAGCTATTCACAGGTATAAGCATAGCAAACTGTACTTTAAACTCCTGGATCAAGCACTCCTACTGCCTAAGCCTCCAAAGGAGCTAGGACTATAGAAGTGTGCCTCCACGCCCAGCTTTGAATCATGTTTTTCCCTAGCTTCCTACCACCACCACTGAAAAATCAATAGTCTTTTGGAAAAGTTTTCTAAGCATTTAAACTAGGGCAAAAAAAAATGTAATCCTCCAATAAGAAGACTCTGATTCTGTTTTTAAATTAACCTTAATAAGCAGAGATTCATTTGTACTCTAAAAAAATACTTCTCACAAAGCTTTGCTGATAAAAATCACCAGAAAAAAGGATGAGCTCTCATAATTCCTCATGCAAAGTATGACGGTTTTAATCTTTTTCTTTTCTTTTTTTTTAAGCCAGGGTCTCACTGTGACACCCAGGCTGGAGTGCAGTGGTACCATCATGGTTAACCACAACCTTCCTCAATCTTCTGGGCTCAGGCAATGCTTCCGTCTCAGCTTCCTGAGTAGCTGGGACTACAGGTGTGCACCACCACACCCAGCCAATTTGTTTATTTTTTTGTGAAGACGAGGTTTCCCTATGTTGCCTAGACTGGTCTCGAACTCCTGGGCTCCAGCAGTCCTCTTGCCTCAGCCTTCCAAAGGGCTGGGATTACAGGCGTGAACCATCAGGCCCAGTCTTTTCTTTTTAAGTGTCAAAATGAGAGCTTTCACCTCAGCAACACTTGTTTAGTGAAAGATAAATTCTGTTTACATGGCTGAATACAGCTATGAGTTGGCATACAGTAACTAGTTTTAAAAGACTAGTAGAACTCCAGACGTGAATACATGCAATCAAGAACAGAATCTTTCATTATTTCTCCTATCCTGCATGTCCATATTAGTATGATTTCCAAACCTGAAAATCCCTAGAAATAAAACTTTAAAGAGAACTCTAAATGACAAATAAAAGTAGGGTTCTAAAATACCTACATATTAGGCATTTAGCTCCCAGCACCCTGGTGTGCTACCCCATTTGCTTACCCTCCAGGTAAGTACTGTGTATATATTTTTTTACCAAAAAAAAATACTCTATGTTGTTTATACTCAAACTTCATCTATGGAAATCGTTATCAATAGCTTGAACATATAGTTTAAAACATAATGAAATCTTAAACTCTTGGTACTTTATGCCATTTTGGTTGCTTAAAATATGAAAAAATGCAACTTAACTGAATATTGTAATTGCAGAATAAGCTACTGGAACAATTTCATCTATCCCCACCAAATTCCAGCTGTCCACTTTCAACCCCTTATATTTAAGCCACTTGACATAGATATCTTTAATATGGCGAACATGAGGACATCCCCAACTACATCCTACTCATCATCATTCATTCTTTTTATCTTTCCTTCTTTTTTTTGAGTCATGGTCTCACTCTGTCGCTCAGTGACACGATCACAGCTCACCGTAGCCTCAACTTCCTGGGCTCAGGCAATCCTTCCACCTCAGCCTCCCAAGTAGCTAGGACTATAGGTATGTGCTGCCATGCCTGACAATCTTTTTGATAGAGGTAAGGTCTGAGTATGTTGACTGGGTTAGTCTCGAACTCCTGGGCTCAAGGAATATTCCCACCTCAATCTTCCAAAGAGTCACCATGCCTGGTGTCATCATTCATTCTATCCACATTAACAGTTCTTAAGGGAGCAGGTTCCTTTCTACCACAGGGCCTTGACACAAGCCATTTACTCTGAACAATCAATCTTTCTTTTCCTCCTTTTGCTAACTTAGCTCCCATTCATCTTTTATCTCTCTGCATAACTAACATAACTATCACCTCCTTGAGGTAACACCACACATTCACACACACACACTCTTTCTCTTATTTTTACACAATTGGAAAAGGACATCTGATATTTATGTGACCATTTTACTCAATGCCTGTATCCTCCACCTTATAAGAGCAAGGGTCATAACTGTTTTTGCTCACTATCACATCCCTCAGCACTTAGCATACTTATGAGGGTGCTCCATTAATATGGATCAAATAAATAAGACAGTCATCGAAAGGTTTAAAGTCAAAGCAAATCCATCAAAATAAGTATCTGCATTTTAAACAAGTATACATTTTTGAGTCAATGTATATATTTTATATATTTCTAATAGCCAAGGGAAATAAGCAAGATGAGGGGAAAGTTAATTTTTTAATTAATCAAATTAATGGAGACAAAAATGGCATTAGTAAATAAAAATTTAGTGATAAACCAAAACTTTTCCTTAACAATTTTTGTGCCCTAACTTTCAGAAGTTCTAACCAAAAGCTGAAAAGTGCCTTAAACACGAATATATCATCACTCTCTATACTCTTCCGTTTCCTTAGTAGTTTTAAAACAACTGTCTCAAACAAAAATAGGAAAATTAAAAGATATAAGCATATAAAATGGATCAAACATCACTCATCAAAATAAGAAATGATGAACTTAGGAACTAAAATAAGTTTCAAACGTGGTAACAGGCAAATATGTGAACAATTCACCAGTAAGTTTAGAGGAAAAAGAAAAATAAGCTCAGGTCCAACAAAGTAATTACACACTTATTAATGTAATAATTCAATGTCTGTTTCCACCATAGATTATAAGCTCCACAAAAGCAGTGAATGTATCAGATTCTGTTACTCATTACATATCCCAGCACCCCAAACAGAAAGCATTTACTATGTAATTAATGAGTAGTAAATAAATACACAAACAAGTAAACTGTATTTCTAGTGACTTTAAGATATTTGAAGAAAATAACTTTCAACTAAAAAGCAATATAAAAAATAAAATTTTATTCACTCATATTTAATCTAATTGTTTAAGATGATAATATATCATAATTTTCATTAAAGAATTCTCCATTTACATAGCTTCAAAGTAATCACCTTATCATTCTAATCTCTAAAGTCTTTTACTCTGACTATATCCATGAAACTATTTTTAAAACTCTGGTTATAAATGTATGTGTTCTATGCACTATATGATAATATATACCATATTTCATCAGTACTACACGTTGATATCTCTAACATCAACTGCTCTAAGAAAGCATAGTATCTAGTTTAATTGGATTTTCTTTCCTTTCTGAAGGATGGAATTTTTAGCCTGAATGAAATACAGCAAATATACTATTATGCTCTTCACCAAATTCAGTTTTTCCCCTAAAGGTTAAAAAACATTTCATACAAATATTATATAAGAAACAACAAAACTAAAGACATTTTTATTACTAATATTTATTAATGGTTTCAGGTCATCGTCAGGACCTTACCATCATCCTAAAACTGCTCCAGCTTTGAGATTTTTAAGTCAAATATCCTTCTGTAACTACAACCCCTTTGCACCCAGCATACCTGATCTAAAACTTCATTGGAAATCAGATCCTCAAGCCTTCATTTTTCAGTCCTCTTCTGTTTTCACTCCTGCTATTTTAAGATTTTTTTCCAGCCAGCATTTCTACTCACTCTCATAACCCAAATCTTCATTTCTCTTGCCCCATCCTTCTGTCATATTTGCACTATTTTCTGATCAATATTTATCCAATGTCCCAAGCATAAAAATTCAAAAAAGTGTCCCAAAATGAATTCATCATCTCTTTCAATACTTATTATTTTTTTTCTGTAGTTAACATCTCAGTGAATGGCATCATAATTCATTAAAAGTGATGCAGTCCAAAACCCCAGGAGTCACACTTGACTCTACCCGGTCTTTGAAATCCTCACATCAGTCACCAAAATCAGTGGCAAAACAAATTGTCAAGAAACACAAAGGTTCTTCCATTATATAGAAGCTTTAGGTTAACACTTCTCTACATAACTGAATCCTGCCCCCCCCCAAAAAAACTCATTCTTTGCCTAGACCTCCAGAAGATCTCTCTTCACCCAAGGTTAAGCTACCCAGAGCAATGCTTCTCAAATTGTCTGTGGTGGGTTTTTAATAAAATACAATGCAAATGAATTACTAGGCAAGTGATTTTTTTAAAGACATACAAAAAATACTAGCACAATTTTTTATTTGATTCAAGTGATGAAAAAAATTAGCCAAACTGCTATAAAATTTTCTAAGTTTTCACTATCACAAGTAGCAATAGTACCAAACCAGACCATAACTGGCCCTGCCTCTAACTTGTGTTGTCTTTGTTTCCACTGCTTTGCTCATTATAATACTATTACAATAAAGAGCAGCCTTGATTTGAGCTTTAACCTAAACCCTTCCACTTAGTCAGAGGATTACTTATGCTACTGGCTCTCTTTGTAGTCAAAAGAATCCAAACCAACCTGCAGTTCTACCTGTTTGCTCTCTTTGTTTTATATTCCTCTCCATAAGGACTAGCTGATCTGTAGCTTCTCCTTAATCTTTTCATCTCTAATAGATAAACTGGATGCCTTCTCTCCTATGAAATAGACTCCCCTTTTCTATCAATTTTGCCTTCTTAACACATAGAAAAGCAAGAATGCAGAAAAGTTCCGCAACTTAAGAAATTTCAAAATGCCTTTACAATCAACAAAGTTCCACACAGAAACACTTCTCAATGGCATTAATCCAGAAGGAGATAAGATCCAATTTGAATATAATATCAACACAGCATATACTTGCTATGGAACAAGCCTTCCCGTATGGAGATGACACCAAGTAACATTAAAGTCACAAATTTACATACAAACCCACAATTCATCTGGGGAAGCAAATTCCTATTAATCGGTCATATCTATGTATTTGAATAATATTTTGAAAGAAAACACTGATCTCAATGAAATCAATTATTAAATAAACAACTGTACTTACGAGTTAGATGAAAGATCCCATCACAGGCACTAATATGAGATAAAAAAGCATTTCCCAGGCCCTGCCCATTGTGTGCTCCTTTCACAAGGCCAGCAATATCCACTACATTTAGAAAGGCAGGAATTTTGCTGAAAAACAAAAAGGATGATTTTACATAAAATAATACTAAGAACCTATTTATTAACCAAAGGGATTCCCCAAGTGTTTCACATAAAATTTTTCCTTTCTAGTGCAATGTTTATGATAATTATTTTACTACAAAAAAAAAAATTAAATAAGAAACTACCTTTTAATGCATTAGGACTTTCTTACCTAAGAAAATGAAGGAGAAAAATTTCTTTAAATTATTATTTATTTATTTTTTAAATTATAAAGATGTGGGGTACAATTCAGGGTTAGGTATACAAACGCTGATTGTTGATGAGGTATGCCCCTGAAGGAGAAAATTAAAGTAGAAGAAATGCATTTGGTGTGTTTCTGAGATTAAAATTCATATCATTAATTTTACTATGAAGTTATTTTTTTGTTTTATTTAACTGCTGTCACCTAATTGGAAATTTATTATAAAATTATATTTAAATATGCATATACACACCAAAGTAGTAGGCAGTGTTTAAAGAACATACTGGGGTAATAATCATAAAACGAGCCAACTTACTTGTGCCAGGCACAAGACTAAGTACTTTACATGTATTACTTCATTTCAATGTTCAAAACAACTCAATAAGTTAGGTGCTATTATTTTTTTTTATTATTATTATTCATAGATATGAGGTCTCACTATGTTGCCCAGGCTGATCTCAAACTCCTGGGCTCAAGCAATCCTCCCACCTTGGTCTCCCGAAGTGTTAATATTATAGGCATAAGCCACTGCACTGGGTCATAGGTGTTATTTATTAAACTTACTTTACAAATGAGGACATTATGCCTTGGAGGAGATAAAAAATCAACTGCATACAGGATCACTTAACTAGCAGTGACAAAACTAGGATTCAAAGATAGGCAAGACAGTCTGAGTTTGCATTTAATCACCACCACATGGGTTATGTAAGTAAAAAAATGCATGTAGCAGTGAGAATTAGTTATCAGCATAGTAACAACCTAGTTGCTAATAACTGCAACCAAATTAGATGTATACACAAAATAACATTTGCTTTGCCAAGTAAAGGCACAGAGTTAAACAAGTTAGAAACCAAGTTAGGAAAATCAGTCTGCCATATAAAAATGAAGATTAATAAAAGTTACTTTTAATGTCATATGACAAAGGTATATGCTATAATCCTGTATTTTGTCAATTTTCAAGAGCATTCATTTTTCAGAATGTCAGTTTCACTACCTGATAAAATACAACATAATAGATCCAAAAAGATTTCCCTATTATCTGCATGGAAAATAAGTCCTTTCAAAATAATTGATCTATAAATATTATAGATAGAAATTACATGATTACTGCTGCCACCAAATCCACTAAAAACACATAAATGTGGTTAGTTTCTTGTTGTTGGATATTGTGACTGCCTTCCCAGCATGCACTTCTCTTGGTACCTAGACTAATTTTCATTTGAGTAGTCATACCTCTCCAGTGTAGCCCAGAGTTTTGGAGAAGCTTGCTCCACCCTCACTCTAGCGGGTCAGCATGTAGCTCGGGCCTGTACTGAGCACTTTAATCTCATCCCTAGACACAGTTAATATTTCTAGGACTTATACCTTGCCCTATCTGCTTTCAAAGACTTAAGGAAAGGCCAGGTGCAGTGGCGTGCACTTGTAGTCCCAGTTACTTGGGAAACTGAGACAGGAGGATCACTTGAGCTCAGGAGTCCGAGTTCAACCTGGGCAACACAGTGAGATCTCCATCTCTTAATTTAAGAGAAATTGTTCTTCAATAGAAACAGGCTGAATAATACATCTAAGTAGGATTTTTCATTGCTCAATGGAGAGGTTTGCTGGAAGGAGTGAGGAAGGTTGAACAGAAGAAGCATATCAGTCTTCTAAAAGAGCTTCTAGGAGCAATTCCCTCTTTCACTCTTACATGGATTAGCATACAGTTCCATCCTGTGACCACAAGGGGAAGACAAGTTTAGGATCAAGTTGACAAAGTAAAATGAAAAGGTGAAAGAAGCCAGTCCTTGACACCACTGAGCTAAGAACATCATGCTACCTGTTATTAGCCCAATAAACCAATTTTTAAAGTCAATATGTTAAGTGTAACTAAACTCATCCTAAATGATATAATTTCTAACAATTAAGCCACCCATATGAAAAATATGAAGTACAATAACATGCACATAGGTGGAAAGGCACTGAGTTTGAAACGAGAAGCCTTGGGTTATATTCCTGGTTGACATTAATTTTAAGTATGGCCATGAACATATCATTCCATCTTTCAAGGCTTCAAGTTTCTTTTTATGAGGACACTAAACAGAAAGCTCTCCAGTTCTGAGATTCTATTCTCTAAAGAAAATGAATGTCTCAATTCTGATTTGTGATTTAAGGGCAGGATAAAGGTTTAAATTATTAATACAATATCTCAAAAGATAAAAACTTGAAACTTAATTCAAGGATTTGTGATGTATTATACCAATGACTTCATGACTACTTGAGCAAAAAAATATTTTTAGACCTTATGAAACTTTCCTGAGACTAAAATAATGTTAAGAATCTTTTAAGCACAGTACTGTAATGAACACAAAAATATTTATAAATTGTTCTTCAAAAGAAACAGGCTGAATAATACATCTAAGCAGGATTTTTCATTTCTAAAAAAAAAAAAAATGAGAATCTGCTATATAACAGAGATGTGTGGAGTAGCAAGAAGGAACACTATAAATTGTCTATTTTCCTTTTTTATTTGCCTGAGCACCAAGAGGCCAAAATTAAGTTACCAAAAACGAAGATGGGCTTCCATTCAATATTTCTATTTCCATAAGGGCATTTAATCAATGCCTAGTAAAGAAAAAGCAAGGGAAAATTTTTTTAAATTAATCAATATTTTTTATTATGGTTTTGTGGGGTACAGTTAAGGGAAAATTTTGATAAATTCCATCACTGCCTAAAGTCTCAACAAATGTAAAGTCCAAGAGCTTTAATGTTGCTGCTGCTGTTCTCTTCATGTCTTTGAAAAACGTCAGCAATGTCACATGATCACATGGTCCAGCAGTGGCAAGGGCCCACACCGGAAGGGAGTCGAGTGGGGAGAGAAGGCAACATGACAGCAGCTACATATGGGCAGGAAAGCAGCCCAGTGATAGCTGTGGCCCAGGTCAGGAGGGCATCCAAATCAGGTAGCAACCTGGTGAGTCGAGAGATTGACCACCTAGTGGGACTGAGCAAAGGAGTAAAACTATTGAGGACAAAAGGAGGTAGGCTTCCTTCAGTGTTGGAGAAAATAAGCACAAATATGCAAGGGGAAAAAGTTAGAATGAACCCAGTAGTGTTAGGCATAGTGTTAGGCTAGAATTAGAGGTGAACTCATGGTCTCTAATACAGATACAGAAATAGATACATACGTGTGTATGTGTATGGAGATGTATATATAAATACATGTACATCCACATACATTTATTTCTTAGCTCTGTCCACTGAGAAAGCATAGGAACACCACCACAGTAGCAACAAGTGCAACTATATCCAGACTTAATGTTTCTAAAGAACATTCTCCTCTACATAGAACCAGGGCTCTTTGCAGAAATAGCTAACTCCAAGGCTGAGGCAGGGAAAATACAAAATAAGTCTGGAACATAACGTTGTACCAGAAGCAAAGAAATGGCAAAGGATGACTGGAACTTGTCAAAAAAAATTAAAATTAAAAAAAAGCAGAAGCCAGTGTGAAAATAAATACCAATGCTGACAACTTGCAATATGATGAGTAAAACCATGACCCTATAATGATATAAATACATAAATAAACAAAGAAATAAATAGGGATAAGTGGAAGCTCTCCCTACGGAACACCATAATAAATTTACAAATGATGGAAATAAAAAAATCATCATTAGATACCACAAGATCTCACTTATATGTAGAATCTAAAAAAAAAAAAAAAGATTTCATAGAAGTAGAGCACAGAATAGTGGCTATCAGAGCCTGGGAAAGAAAAAGGGGCATGGGCATGGGGAGAGATTAGACAACAGGTACAAAGTCATAGTTAGAAGGAGTAAGTTTCAGTGTATTTTTTTGCACAGTAGGGTGACAACAATTAATAACATTATATTATATATTTCAAAATAGCTATGAGAGGATTTTGAAAGGTCTCACCGAAAAAAAAAAGGTAAGTGTCTGAGGTGAAATATGCTGATTATTCTAATTTGGTGATTACACAATGTATACATATATCAAAACAACACACTGCATCCCAAAAATATGTACAATTAGTATGTATCAATTAAAAATAAAATGAAGCTTTTAAAAAAAAGTCCCCATCTAGAAATCATCATTTTAGTAAATGATTCAGGAAAGAATGCTATAAGCACAACATAATTATTAATTAATTTTACAGTGGGGAACACCAGAAAATACCATCTTACCCAAGGAATCAAAGTTATTTTCACCAATGATGAGACAAATCAACATCGTGTACCTTCAGATATGCTGTACTAGAAAGAACATGGCATCACTTGTGTTACACCAAAAATGCATAAATCATGAGAAAGTATAAGACAAACCCAAATGGAATAACATTCTACAAAATAACTGGCTTATACTCTTCAAAAATGACAAAGTCATAAACAACAAGGAAAGACTAAGAAACTGTTTCAGACAGAAGATGACTAAAGACATAAAACAACTGGATAAATACATGATCTTGGTATAGATAAAATAAAACACATTATTAGAACTGGAAAAATCTAAACAGAGTCTATGAATTAGATAGTAAGAGTGGATTAATAATCATGTCCTGAATTTGATGGTTTACTATGGTCATGAAGGAAAGTGTTCTTGTATTTTTAGTAAACACAAACTAAAGAACTGTAGTGCAATGTGGCATCATGTTTGTAACTTATTCTCATAGGTTAAAAGAATCTGGGAATACATGGCTATATAAGCACTCTCTATATAATTTTGCAGCTTTTATATAAATTTGAAATCACTTAAAAATAAAAAGTTTTTAAAAAGGACTCTGAAATCAGCTTGAGAAGCCAATTTAAGTGATATAATTTGAGCATCAAATTAACGGTTGTGACAGATTAAAACCAACTGAGTAACACTGATCTGAATAAATACATGAATGTATAGATGAAGACAAAAAAGCTTTTATTTGCAGTACAATGCTAACTAACAAATGAAGGAGTAATGATGGAATTATAAAATCGCCATGTTAGAATCACCGTAGTACTAACTAATCCATAAAAAAAAAAAAAAATCAATGGATGTTACAACTAGTAGATGAAAGTGGGAAAAGTGAATGAATCCAGTATATGTTTTGAAGTTAGAACACTCAGGAATTGCTGATAGACTGGATGTGAGGGTGGGGTGAGGTGGAATGAAGGATAAATCTTGGGCATTGGTTTAGCAACAGAAGAAATGATAGTGCTATTTATTGAATTATGAAAGTATTGAGGAAGAACAAATTTGATACAAAAAGTTGAAATCAAGAGGACCATTTTGGACATTCGGACAACCAAGTGTCAGAATCAAGTAGGCAATTAGAGATATGTCTGGAGTTCTGCAGAATTCTGGACTAGAGATAGAAAATTAAGGTTCACTAGCACATTCAAAATACTAAAAAAACTAAAAACAAACTAAATTCTCAATAACAGGGTAATGGTACACTGTACTATTCATATAACACAGCACTAAGTATTATACTAGAATTATTATTTAAATCTGTATTTTTTGATTCAGAAAGTTCACTAACTTTTTAATACCCAAAGTAAAACAAGTATCCTATTTCTATAAGTAAGTGTGTAGGGGAAAGTATGGAAGCATATACCCCCAAAATATTTACAACTGTTATAGCAAGGCAGAGGAAGTAAAGATGATTATCATTCCTTTCGTTACACATTTTCCTATTGTCTGAACTTCCCACAATGAAGCTATATTTTTTTTCTAATTAGAAATATAATGCATGCTTATTATAAAAAATACAAATACTATTGAGGAATTTAAGAATAAACTTAAAATCACCTAAAAATTCCAATACCCAGAGATACCCAACAATTAATTTGTGATCTTCATTTCAGACATTTTGTTATGCATATATACTTATAATTTTACATGAATGGCATCATATAGCACAGACTACTCCCTCTACTTCATACTCGAAAAAAATAACTGTAGTGTTAACCATTCCTCACACTTCTCCAAATACTCTACATTATTTTTATAATCACCAAAAATAATGCTACATTAATTTTGCAAGAAATACCCTTCTACATGACTTCAAACAAATCACATACATATATTTATACTCTATACAGGGCCACCAAATAAGAAAAAAAAATAGCATCAAGGATTTCTTACCTTGCTGGTTTGTGGTACTGGCAAAGAAAGTCAAATCTTTCATCTGGCACAGGCACTCTGCTCTCATTAGGGTCAATAGTGCAGAATGGGAAATTTTCTGCTGATGCCTGACTATTGGTTAACACATTAAAGAAGGTAGATTTCCTAAAATGAATAAAAGCAATTTCAATCAATTCTTAGGTTAACACCAAGAAAACTTTATCTTCCTCTAATTTCAACGATCATATAAGACCTATGAGGAATATAAAACCAATTTGAAAAGGAAGACTATATTTTTGCTAACAGAAATGGATAAAACTTCCAACAATGCAGCTAATAATTTGTAATTAGGTTATGTTTCTATCACAGTCTATTTGGAACTTGGAAAGCACATTCCCAAAGAATTTTTGCCAGAAATCACAGCTACAGCTCCTGTCACACCTCAATATCTATTTTTTTCATGATGTAGCTGTTCGTATCAGTATCATGTCACCTATACCAAATACAACCTTCTCTAGCAAGTCTAAAACTGTGAATTATGAAAATCAAAATGTGAATTTTATTCAAGGTATGACAAATCAAGAAAAAATGTTTTAATATGGAATAAATTTGTCACGAACTTTTAAAATATTTTAAAAATAGAGACAGAGTCTTGCTATGTTGCCCAAGCTGGACTCAAACTCCTGGCCTCAAGTGATCCTCCTACCTCAGCCCCCCAAAGGGCTGGGATTAAAGTTGTGAGCCACCACGCTTTGGCCAGATATTAACTTCCTAACTATCTGATTGTTATCAGGTAATATGTGCTGGATGTTTTTTAAAATATGATAACAAAGTACCAAAAATTATTAAGTAAAATCCAAAACAAAACGGGATTTTTAAAGACTTGCTGATTTGTTTTTTGGGGTTGATTTATTTATTTTGCTACTTTTCAATTCAATCACTAATAGAGCCAGTAGAGAATTCACAGTAGTGAATTTTCCTTGCTCTAGACATAGGACACACGAGGAATTTAAAATGAGAATTATTGTTATCTGTTCTTCTAACTGGAGGAATTTAAGTGGCAGCTAAGGCTTTTTAAGTACTATAAAACTAGCGCTTGCTAACTATGGCTAGACATGATTATGTAAAAATGTTTTCATGTGAACCAAATTTGATAACAAAGGAATACTCAAAAGGATAATGGTTGTATTAGAATGGTGAGATTATGGATGATTGTTTTTCTCTCTTTTCTAAAAAATGTTTAAGTTAAAAATATCTACAGATGAGACCTAATTAGTCTATATTCAACAGGAGAAATTTATACTTGCTACAGTTAGCTCAGTTAGTGTAAACTAAAGAACCAATCACTTGTTGAACTAAACAACTTTTAATCTAAAGAACCAATCCCTTTATTTTAAACTCGGAGGGCCCTATAAAAGAATGATGATTGCCAGGTGAGGTGGCTCACACCCAGCACTTTGGGAGGCCAAGGCAGGAGGGTTGATTGAGCCCAGGAGTTCAAGGCCTGCCTAAGCAAACACAGTGAGACTCCATCTCTACAAAAAAATATAAAAATTTAGCCAGACATAGTGGTACATGCTTGTAGCCCTAGCTACTCAGGAGACTGAGGCAGGAGGATCAGTTGAGCCCAAGAAGTCAAGGTTGCAGTGAGCATGATCATGCCACTTGTACTTCAGTCTAGGCACAACAGAGTGAGACGAAACACTGTCTCAAAAACAAAAACAAAAACAGGGATGAGCAAAAGGCTACATTATCTAAGTACCACTGGTTAGAAGTACGTTTTAGCAACAAGATGTTTAACTGTCTTAAATATTGTTCTTATATTATATCTAGACTAAACATTTCAGAGTCAAATAGAAATGTTAAACAGCCACATAAATCATTACTGGTTACTTAGAGCACCACTAGTCAAATCAGTAGCTTCCAAATGCCTGCCTATAACAGAATTAATTGAGGATAAAGGCATGCATTATCAGGCCTCTTTCCAAACCTGCCAGTGTAGGTTCTGCATTTTTAAAATATCTCAGGTGAGGGCACATAAGGTGGCTCACAACTGTAACACCTGCACTTTGGAAAGTTGAAACAGAGGATGGATTGCTTGAGGTCAGGAGTTAGAGACGGCCTGGAAACACAGTGAGACCCTGTCTCTATCAAAAAAAAAAAAAACATTAGCAGGGTATGGTGGGGCCAGCCTATAGTTCCAGCTAATTGGGAGAATGAGTCAGGAAGATTGCTTCAGCAAAGGAGGTCAAAGCTACAATGAGCCATGATCATGCTACAGCACTGCAACCTGAGGAACAGAGCAAGACCCTGCCTCTTAAAAATAAAAATAAGAAACAGGTGGGGCAGGGTGAAAGACAAAACAAAACAGATGATGCAGATGTAAAGTCAAGTTTTGGAAATAGGAATAGACTGAGACTAAGCTAACAACTCATGGAATGATGCTGGCTATCAGAGAATTTATACTGGCAACCCTAAGAGCCTAGTAACGATCTCAAAACTCCAGGAATGATGACTAAGAGGAAATCACTGGTTTCTACAGAGCTGGCTTTTAATTTCAATCCTGTTAGTATAAATGTCATGGTACTTAATTTAGAACAACACATATACGGTAAAGTCCATCTATTTCTAAATAGTATGAAGCTTAATATAATGTAAAATATTAACATAACAGAGAAGACAATTTAAAAAAAATTCACATTCAGACCATGACTTTAAATACCACATCCATTAAAAATGACCAGGACTTCTTAGAGAAATAGTTAGTTTCAGATTTGGGACCAAAAAATACATAAATCCCAAACAACTTTTCCCAAAGGAAAACAAGGAAGTTCTTTTCTTTTTTTTTTCTTTTAAAGATGTGGGGCACAATTGAAGATCAGGTATACAAGTGGTCATCACACAGGAGAAGTTTGAGCTTCCCTTTGGTCCCCACTTTGCCTGGTTTGAGATAAGGTACCCTTATTGATGTTATGTGACCCCCTCCCTCCCCTGGCAATATCCTGCTACTGCCAATCCCTTTTCTTATGGTATTACGGTAAATGTTCAGGGTCCACTTATGAGAACATGTGGTACTCAGTTTTTTGTTTCTGTGACAGATCACTGTGTATTATAGACTCAATCCATCAAGTTGCTGCAAAGTTCTTATGTTTGTCTTTCTTTATGGTTGTGTAATACTCCATCATGTATATGTACCAATTTTTTTTTATCCAGTCTAGTTTTGATGGACAGGACAGTTGGTTCCATGTTTTTGCTATTGTGAATAGTGCTGCAATAAACATGTGCAGGTATCCTTTTGGTAGAATGTTTTCAGTTCCTCCGAGTATATTCTCAGTAAGGGAACTGCTGGGTCATATGGAGGGTCAACTGTTCTTTCAGAAATCACCACACTGCTTTCCATGGAGGTTGAACTAGTTTGCATTCCCACTAGCAGTGTAAAGCGTCCTCTTTTTTCCACATCCTCACCAGCATCTGTTGTTTTTTGTTTTATTAATGATGGCCATTCTTGCTGGAATGAGGTGGTACCCCAATGTCGTTTTGATTTGCATTTCTCTGATGATAAGTGAGGCTGAGCACCTTTTCATGTGTCTGTTGACTGCCAGTATGTCTTCTGAGAAGTGTCTATTCATATCTTCTGACCACTTTTTAATGGAGCTGCTTTTTTTCCTCTTGGCATGTTTGAGTTCCTTGTAGATCCTGGATGTTAGGTCTTTGTCAGATATACAGTTGGCAAATATTTTTTCCCATTCTGTGGGCTGTCTCCCTACTCTCTTGATGGTTTATTTTGCTTTGCAGAAGGTTTTCACTATAATGAGGTCCCACTTGTCTACCTTAGCTCTTATGGAATGGACATCTGGGGTTTTCATCAGGAATTGGATGCCTACTTCAGTTCCCATAAGGGTGTCTCCTGCATTTTCTAAGATTCTTATAGTTTTAGGTTTTACATTTAGGTCTTTGATCCATTTAGAGTTGATTTTTGTGCATGGTGATAGGTAAGGGTCCTGTTTCAATCTTCTGCATGTGGTTGGCCAGTTTTTCCAGCACCATTTACTGAGTAGGTTCTCCTCTCCCCAGTGGCTGGTGGAGGCTTTGTTGAAGATGAGTTTGTTGAGAAATTGAGGTTTTGCTTCTGGAATCTTTATCCTGTTCCATTGGTCTATATGCCTGTTCTTGTACCAACACCAGGCTATTTTGATTATTATAGCCTTATAGTAGAGTTTAACATCTGAAGTGTGATATCTCCCACTTTGTTTCTTTTGCCGAGGATTGTTTCGGCTATTCGTGGTCATTTATGTTTCCTTTTTTTTGAGTTGGAGTCTCACTCTGTCACCCAGACTGGAGCACAGTGGCCGCTCCCAGCCACCGCAGCCTCAACCTGCTGGGCTCCGGCGATCCTTCCGCCTCAGCCTTCCAAGTAGCTGGAACTACAGGCGCATGCCACCACGCCTGGCTAATTTTTTTGATTTATTGTAGAGATGAGGTCTCGCCAAGTTGCCCAGGCGGGTCTCAAACCTGCAGACTCAGGCAATCCACTCACCTCAGCCTCCCAAAGCGCGGGATTACAGGCTGAGCCACCGAGCCCGGCTCGTTTATGTTTCCATATGAATTTCTGTATTGTTGTTTCCAGGTCTGATAATAATGTTAATAATTTAATAGGTGCTGCATTGAATCTGTATATTCCCTTTGGTAAGATGGACATCTTAACAATGTTGATTCTTCCTATCCATAAGCATGGAATATTTTTCCATTTGTTAGTGTCTTCTTGGATTTCTTTGAGCAGTGTTTTGTAGTTTTCATTCTCTGGTTAGGAAGATGCTGAGGTATTTCACTTTTTTTGTGGTTATTGTGAATGGGATTGTTCTTTTTATTTGTTTCTCTTCCTGCCTGTTGTTGGCGTATAAGAATGCAACTTTCTTTTGCACATTTATCTTGTACTCCAAGACTTTGCCAAAGTTCTTTATCAGTGCAAGGTTTTTGATAGATTCTCTTGGATTTTCGAGGTATAGGATCATATTGTCAGCAAAGAGGGATAACTTAACTTCCCCTTTCCCATTTAGATATCCCTGATTTCCTTCCCTTGTCTAATTGCTCTAGCTAAGACTTCCAACACAATGTTGAACAGGAGGGGTGGAAAGTGGGTAGCCTTGTCTTGTTTCGGTTGTCCG